GGGGAATTCTGGGAGTTGAAGTCCACATGCCTTAAAGTTGCCAAGGTTGAGAAACACTGCTGTATTGACTTATAGGGGCAGTGCTGTAAACTCCGAGGAAGCTGTCTCATCCCAGATCAGAACATGCATGCCTATAGCTGAGGACCATCTTTACTGACAAGGCACAGCTCTCCCCCATTCTGAGCCCTCCTTGGGGCTTGAGCCCAAGATCTTTCATGGGAAAAATGTTGTTTTATCCCCAGGCTACAAGCCTTTCCTCCAGCCAGTTACACTTTATGCACAAATTAGGAACTACATCTTTATTCATATTTTATAGTTTCTTGCCTTGATCTTTGGTCCTGTACATAAGGTTTTTTTTCTCTTCTGTATCAGTTCTTTCATCCATCTCTCCTTGCAAGAGACTTTTTCCATGTTTAATTTATTTAGCTACTTCATTTAGAAGTCATGAACCCTTGTCATAAAGAACATTGAATGGGGCATATCATACAGGATTCTATTTTGATAGTAGATCTGGGGTGTTACTGGTGCTTTCTGTAAAGCAAGCCACAGATTTTATCCCCATGTTGTTGATACTTAAGCTGAGGAAATAGAGGCTCATCTGAGGCCACCTGAATAAGTGAAGCAAAAATATAATTAGGGACTTCTCTGCTGATAACTTAAAAACATATGAGGCAAAACTTGCTTCTGTCCATGCACACTCCTCTAAGAGAGTCACATATCAGTAGTAAAGCACTAGTGCTGTTGGCTCTAAATTAAACAAGAAAACATTCCTGCATTTATATTAATGTTGTTGTTGCTGTTATTATTATCATCAGCCAAAATCAATTCACTGCAACATGAAGTCCTTTTCACTGAAGGTTATGGACCATGATCTACCACACTGATCCAGTGCAAGTTGGGAGATAGATGTTTTTCAGCTTCCTTATCACACCCACTCATCCATATACATATGTACAGAGACAGAGTGGGGACCCTACTTGCTTCTTATTTCTTTTTTGCAAATGCCAGGTTTCATTTGGGAAATGGTAGATAATGGCTGCATGTCATTTTGCTGTGCTTTCTTAGGTCAATGGTACAAAATATTTCATAATTACCTATGGAAGTGAAACAAGAGCTGCCAAATGTGTGGACAGAGAGAGACAGATAGACAGGACCTGGGTTATGGAAGTCTGGGTTCATATCTTCACTAAACCATGAAGCTCAATGAGTATCTTTGGGACAAGTCACTCTCTCACAACTCAATAGGATTGCTGTCAAAATAACATGGAGGAACCCCTTACATATCTGTTATCTTGAGTTTTCTAAGATGATAACAAATGTTCCTCTAAATTTTCAGTATGTTTCTTGTGCTGAGTACCTGCCTCCTAACTCCACCTCTCTCTTTATCTGCTGTTAGATTACTGAAACCTTTGGTCTGTGCATTTGTAATGCTTGCTACCTAGGAATGCTGCCAAAATCGTTCCTCAGAAGTGAATAATTCTGGCCTGGGCCATAAATTATAAGACTATACATTCTGTGGAACTGGCCATCATGTTGTGGTTCTCCACTGTCCTACTCTTGTTCCTTACAGCTGCTAGCAGGTGTGTGGAGAAACAGAAGCTGTCTCTGATGCTTAATGGCATGAATGATTCTATGTCTTGCAGCTAGGCCAGGGATTAATCTAACCGAGAGAAACTAACTTGAGTCCCTGCAGATTCATGGCAGCAAATGTGATGCTTCTCAAGCTTCTAAGAGCACTTCTGTATCACTGCTTTTTCCATTCCTTAACCATTCGGATCCAACATACTGGTGTAGGCAGTATCTGTTTCTAGTATATTGCCATCATGTTGTGATTCTCTACTGTCCTACACATGTTCCTCATAGCTGGTATACTGGATTCAGATCCAAGCTTGCAAGAGCCCATGGTTGTTCCTGGTATGGAATTTGGGAACACCTGAGCTAATTAGTATCCAACTTGTTTTGCAGCAAGACAAAAAATAATAAAACTATATGGATGCCTAACTGAAGCCTAGTGTGAGGGCATGAAGCACTCAGGGAGGGGGAAGTGCCAAAAAGCCAGTCCCCCCACTATGAAACTGGCCTAGTATGACACTGGCCCACATCAGTTCCCCCCAGTATGAAACTGGCCCACACCCAAGCCCCAAAAGAGCTCCAATGTCTCAAATGATAAAGTAGAAATTTTGCTATTTGAGATTTGGGGTAGTTGAGCTAGAAGAAAATTGACCTGGATGTTCAGCTAGGATGGAAGCTCAGAGATATGGGGCTCACATATGTGGAAAGCACCAGGTGGGCTGTGTGAAGGCTGTCTTGACTAGTTAGGCAGCCAAAAAGTTGACCTCACCATTTGCAGGGCAGCTTGTTCAAAAGTATTGGAGTCTGAAATCATTCGATGAGGTAACTTCCCCTTGGGACTTTAAAGGACACCGTGGACAAGTGCTTTTCACAGAGGCGTAACTAAGTACTGCTTTGTTTTGTTCTACATGCTGAGGATTGAATGGCTTCCTTCTTTCCCCCAGCACACGTGTGCACATGGCATAGGAGCCAGACTTGGGGTTTCTTCAAAGGCAGGCGTCTCTTGCAGATGGCAGCAGTTGGCCAACCTTGTTTAGGCTTGGAACTAAGCAGGATGGGCCTGATAGTACTTGAACGGGAGATCACCAGGTAATTCCAATCTCTTCCAAATTGTTGCCAAGAACATACCAGGGATATATCCACATCCACTTGAAGGAACTTAACTTTAAGTAGGAAACAGGATTGTCACATTGCAACCCAAGCACAAGACACATTAAATCACCCAACTGCTGTTGGAGATGAGGCAGCCACAGTAGCTCCCTGTTCCTTTGGGGCTTAGTCACCCTTTTTCCTCACAAGACTCCACGTTAGTTGCCTAACAGAGGCAGAATGGACCTCCAGACCAGGGAAGAAACTGATAGGAGGACACCCTCCGCCTCATCTCTCATGCCATTGGTAGCTACGGGCTTAGGGTCCAGGTTGGAAGATGGTAGCCTGAACACAGGAAAAGAGCATTCCCTAGAAAAAGTAGGACAGCTATTTTATTACTGGGGAGGAGAAATGCCAAGCAAAGTTTAGAACGAACATTCATCCTTCCTCATCCTTGTACTCTCCAGATGGGAATTTGCAGAGTTAAAATCTTGTCACATCTGGGGGGCACCAGGTCACAAGAGGCTGCTCTAGAGTAGGCTTCTGTTGCCAGGCCCAAATCTACTGGCAGCAGTGGGATATGGTTGCCTAGCAACCATCACATTCCCCATCCACCAGTCCTGCCCCTCAGAGCAGCTACTGCTGAAGGCCAGCTGTTTGAATGGAGGGATGGAGGAACAGCTGGCAAATATCTTTTGATAAATCTTCCGCTGATACAGTTCAGAATATGCATAGGACTTCCTGTATTGTTAATACTGTTGCACATACAGTTTTCTTCTGTTATAGTTTGAGGTAATACCTTTAACAAGATATAGCCAAGATATGTGGGATCCCCAAATATTCCATTTATAGCCTTGACACCTCGCTCTGTGAGTTGGAACAGGCTGCTTGTTGTGTCCCCCGCCCCCCACCCACCCCACCCCGGTACCGTATACGCGACAC